TAAGGGGAGGGGAGAGGATGTGAGAAAAACAGCGTGTGGGGCTTCTCGGCAGGAGGTGGGGCAGTTCAGGAGTCTCCCTCCCTCCTGAGAACTCCCGAGCAGTGTGGCCAGTGGCAGCAGGGCACCAAAATAGCCCAAAATACTGCAACTCGCAACTGCTAACCCCCCAACCCTGGCAACTGACAGCTACAATTAACCCAATTGGGCTAGAAAATTGCATACTTGGCAAGCCAGGCCCTTAGAATGCCGGCACCCCTAGCCTTCCTACTGTGCCTAATTGGAAATCTGGTCCTGGTGTGAGCCTAGCACACAGATCCAGGAATGTGGCCTTGCACATCCGAAAGTTCTGCAGCCACTGCTCATCATCCCAAACCTGCATTACAATGTGACCCTACCAGTTAGTGCTTGTTTCTTGGGCCTAGAAGCAGTGCACCACTGTCTGCAGGTGCTCTGTGAATACTACCAACAACCTTGAATTGGTTCGCGCTATGTCCCACAGCAAAAGGTCCTCCAAGAAATCATCATGTTCCCCACAGTACCTCTTGTGGCTCTGCAAATACTGGAGGATCATGCTTCCCGTGCTTGCAATGCTCAAGAGCTGTGCAGGGTCCATGCTTCTGTCAGAGGTCTCAGACGGCAACAAGACCAGTGTGGGTTCCTGAGAAATTGAAAACAGGCACAAAAATTAAGAGCTAGAGATAATGTTCCAAGATGGAGAACATGGCATTATGGGAAGTTGACCCCTTGCTCCCAGTCCCTCCTCAGTGACTCGCTTCTTCCCCACTAAGCATTGTCAAAACTTACAAAACATAGGGCATAGAACAGTGGTGGGTTGCTCTTTGGGATCCCTACCCATGGTGCACAACATTGTACATCAACACAAACACTCCTGGTGAGTGCATGCAGCACCAATGCAAGCAGCCAAGCATGCATGCACACAAGCGATATACTAACTCTGGTGGCTGTATGCCAACATAACTTGTGATGGCAAAACTTTGCTCAGTTACTGAGGTTTCTTTAGGTCTTTCTGGAATTCCTTATCGTCCTTCTGATCTTGACTAACCTCAGTATTTTTGTGCCATTCACATACTTAGCCACTTTGCTATCCACTTCCTCTTCCAGATCATCAATAAAAGGAGGGACAAACCCTTCAGTCCTTATTTAAGGCTTTCTGAGACACATACTTCCATTGATTTCACTTCCATTGTTACCACTGGATTTCAATGTGAGCTGTTCATGAGTATGGACCTTAGGATTTGGCACCGGCAAACTGTACTGATCCCTGGGCCACCGCACTATTAACCTCTTTCCATTATCCCTTCTCTTTATTTCCTATCTCTTAAATGGTTTTTAATCCAGGACAAGCCTTTACCTCTTACTCCATGGTTACCAAGTTTGCCTAATAGCTTCTTGCAAAGGTCTTTTTTGAAAGTCTTTTGAGAGACTTGAATAAATTTTATCCACTGGTTTGCCTTTATTCACTATTTTGTTAACACCAAATGAGTTCTAGCAGCTTAGAGAGGCACAATTCACCCTTGTAAAGCACTGCTTTTTTGTCCCATCTGATTATATATATCTGCTTAATTTATAACTCTATCTTTAATGATTTTCCGAACTATTTTTTCTGAAGTAAGGCCCACATGTCTATAATACAGACGATCACCCTCAGCTCTTTAAAAAAGATTGATGCTGGTGTGTTGAATACTTCTGAGTTGTCCAGTGTAGCGGCTTTTGTAAAAAATGATAAATAGTAATTCTGCTGTTTAGTTTTTTAGAGTTTCCAGATAACTAAGATCCAGAAGTGGTGATTAATTGCAATTAAATGTCTTGAGTTATTCCAATGCCTTTTTGTTTGTGATATTGTGCTCTCAGACAAGGTCATGCCTTCACTACCTGTGAAGAGTAACCTCAGGCTAAGTCTTTTGGAAACAACAGTAATCACTCCATAACTTGCATCAACACTTCTCTTGTCTAGCCTGATTCTTTAACACCCTTGCACCTGAAACACCAGATGATCAAGATGAGCTAATATGGTCAGCTCCATAAACTACAAATGCTGCCTTGTGTAATGATTAGAACATGGGACTGGCAGGCATAAATTTCTGAATTTTAATTCCAACTCTGCCACTGCCTTGCAGTGGATCCTTGGGCAAGTCATTTAACCTCTTCAACTCGGTTCTCCCAGCTGTAATATAGGGATAATAACATTTGCATATCTTCTGGGCATGTTGTGAGGATTAATTAGTTAATATTTTCAAAGTGCTTTGAATATAAATGCTGAGTAAATAATCACGCCGCTCTCCCCCCCAAAAAGGAATAAGTGAAAGGGAAAGTGAAGAAAATACTAACTGTATGTTGACCATGGAGGACAAATTCTTTTCTTTTAAAGACATTGGGCCAAATACTGCTTGGGTGCCCCAATGCAAACTTAAATTACCCAGGGCCAGATCCTTATATGAAGTAAGTTGGCAAAGCACCACTCAATTGAGTGGAGTTACACTGATTTACACCAGATGAGACACTGGCCCATTTACTTCAATGGAGTTAATCTGAATTTACACTGATATAAATGAGATCAGTATTTGGCTTGTTGTCAATATGCCACTGTCTTCATTCCTTTTAATGACGAGATCTTCTGCCAAATGTATACTGTTGGATGCCAACATTCAAAGCTGAAAAATCTCTATATGAAGAGCAAATATTTGTATTGTGATACTACAGTACTAACGAGAAGCTGTAACCAAAATCATGACTCTTATTGTGCTAGGTGTTGTACAAACATAAACTGAGAGACAGTCCTCACCCCAAAGAGTTTACAATCTAAATTGACAAGACAGACAAGGTTTTTAGGGGAAACGGAGGTGAAGTGACATGCTGGAGATCACACGGCAGGTTAGAAACGGAGTTGGAAGGAAACCCAAGTATCCTGAATCCCAGTCCAGAGCACTAGCTACTGGGCCATATACTGCAGACAAAAATGCAACAGTTAAAAATACCTTCTCATTCTCTACTAGTAAGTATTTTAGAATATTGGTGTCCAAGACTCAATTACAGACTTTGCAGGTGCTTGGTGTTATCCCTCCATTACAGATGGCAACTTTGTTTCTGCTTCTGTAATATTTCGTTTTCGTTTGGTTTAGCTGTAGCTCCTTGAGGGGGTAAGAGTGGTGTGGAGGTAAAGAGGAAGAATGATCACTGTACGTGAAAAAAAGGCTTCTCATTGATACTTATATCAGCAAAGGCAAGACTGTTACAGGCAAAAGCTCAAGAGGATTACTTGGGATTCTGCAGTGTACAGTAAACCATCCTTATCTCTCTCAGAATGGCAGGACATTTTCTATAGTAAGGTTGGTTCAAGCGCTTTTTTAAAAATGCCAGTTTTCAAAGGCTTGCAAATGCTGAAATTTGAGCTTAACCATTTTGAGACTTAAAATTAGATTGATATTCAGTTGGTACATTGCCCATGTAACCGGTGAGAATGGCTGCTTGTGAAAAGAACAAGAAGCACTGTAGTTACATTGTATCTGGGTTTTAGTCTTTGTTTCACTTCCCTCCATGTAAACTGAGAGTAAATCCAGAGCATTTTATAGAGCTGCACAAGTGGACAGCCAGTGTGAGTGAGATCAATCCAGTGTACTGCATTTCAAAACATAGGCTCAAGTTTTTCAAAGCACTAAAGCACATGCTTAAAGTTAAACATGTGTTATGGGCTTTGCAGAACCAGGGTCATAAACAGTATGGTCCAAATTTGATGGTCCAAACTTATAACATGTATAAAAGTGCAGATACTGCTGTCTCTCTCTCTCTTTCTCTCTCTCTCACCCTTCCTCCCTCCTTTGGAGGATTGAAATACAACACAGCTAAACTGAAAGAAAGAAAGAAAGAAAGAAAGAAAGAAAGAAAAAGAAATTCACACACAATTTTCAGGGAGAGGAGAGAACAAAGGAAAGGGCTACATGTGACAGATGCCATTCAAGTCACTTAATGCACTACTGGAGTGTGCTCAGATACTATGGTGATAGGCATTGTATGAGACACTGAACACAACAGAAGGCCTCAATCCTGCAACTGGCTGTGTGCAGGCAGTACTCTGTCCCCATGTGGAACTAATTCCAGGAGCAGAACCCCCGAGCCAGATTCTGCACCAGCTTTCACCCTGCCCCTCAGGAAATCTGTGACAGAGCTAAAAATAGAACCATTGCTATACTTTGGGGGGGAAAGTGGTGGTATGCTCCAAATTCATCTTCCTAAAATACCGCTTACCCCTTTTTTATTTATCTTCATCACTGAGATGTGAGGTTATGGCATGACCAGCCAAAATTCATTTCTCTAGTAACAAACGAAGGGAACGCCCACCCAGACATATGAATGCTGCATTTGTTCTGGTTCCCAAGATAAGTGCAAACTTCTGCTTTGAGATGAGATAACTTTAGAAACATTGTGATCCTGGAGAATAATTATGGTAATTGAAAGTAGGAGTAGAATTATGGTAATTGAAAACTTCTCTTGTGACAGGTATTTCTAAAGCTCCAGGATTCTGGGGCTGCTCCGTATCACTATGTAGGGTAATTCGTGTTATTTTTGCAAAAATGACTGAAAGTTCATGCAAATGTAACTTCAACCATTATTTGTATAATAAACTTGTTACGCATACAGACATAGAATTTATTTTTTAAATGTACGGTTTGCAGTCTGGTGAGAGGTGCTGGCTTGAGAGTCATGAAGAGTGAAATCGTCTGTTCAGTGTACAACATGGACACTATAATCTACACCCATATAGTTCCACCTGTGTGTCCCAACCTTGACCTGGAAGGAACACCTCTAGGAAGAAGTGGGTAGTTCACTCCTCATGCTTGTTTAGACTGTTGCCTCTTGGCTGAGACTACCAGCAAAGCATGAGTTAGTGTCAATTGTGGAAATCTGTGTGTTGAGGACACTTGTCTAAAAGGAAAAAGACTACTGTCTGGTCTACATTTGAACATGTACCACTTTAATTGTAGTTAAAGCAGCATATGATGGGGTACACACATCCCACACTGGAAAGGAAGGGGTTGAAGATCTGCTCTGAGCCCACCCCACCACACCAGCAATCCATGCACAGAATGGAGACAAAGCTTAAGAAGGGAGCGGAACGGAGGCAGGCAGCCCGTGGAGGTGAGCTGACCTACACTCTGAAGCTCTGCAAAAGGAGTGCTGTGGGAGGCCCAACTACCAGGTCCCCTGATTATTGATGGTCTAGTTGCCCTGCTGAGGGAAGAGGACTCCAGACATTTGCAAGGTTGGAGACTTTGATTTATTTTGTTTACAAGCCTTTGTTTTTCCCTCTTGCATGGGGAGGAAGTGATCTGGGCAAGTAGACACCTAGCTTTGGGTCAGAACCCAGGGAAGAGGGTGGGTCTGGGTTCCCCTACCCACCCCTGATGGGGCGGGAGGCAAAAAATGTGTCCCTCATAGTAAAGACTCAGGACTAGGAAAACCCCCATCCTAGAGAGTCCAGGACTTTGGCTAGATGAAGCTTGAAGCCCATTGCTGGGCATTGCAACTAGGCCTTTGTTGGACTCTTTATATACCCTGGAAGCAGTGAACAGAACTTGTGGCCCAGCTGGAGGGCCGAACCACAGAAGGGGACAGACCACCGCAGGGCCAGAATGGCTATTAATGGGGGCATTAAGACAGAAAAGCACCTGTTGTACCCTCACCCAACCACTAGGCAGTGCCTGTGGGGAACAGACCCCTTCACACAGTACAACCCTTCCTCGATTACACAGTTATATCAGTATAAATTATCAGTGTTGCTATTGTCATATAGAAATGGTAATAAGCTATATCAATATAAACCACCTTTATACTACTTTAATTGATTCCATGCTAGTATACTTCCAGTACAATGTGGTAGGGCACCTCCTTCACCTTGCCGGGTGCAGTGGTTCCCCCTCTGGTGGTGGCAACCTGTGGTAAGTCATTCCCACTCTGGAGAGTTTTTATTCCTCACTTAGTGTTTTTATTCCTCCATATTTACAAGGTAGGCCTCAGGGTAGGCCCAAGAGAAAAGTATATAACACAGAAAGGGGACTGTCTCCTGCCCCATGTTGACTTGTTATGTTGGCCTCTGGTTGCTTCCCCTCTAGGAAGGGGAGCCACCTTCCACTCAGAAGACACCTTTCCCCCTGCTGCTACTTGCCCTTCTGCAAATTATCTCCTATCTCTCCCCCTTCCTGCTCTTGCCAGAAGAGGGCTTTTAAAGGTCACTGGCAGCGCTTAACTGGGCTCAGGTGTCTCTAGTTAACCTGAAGTAACCCTTTTTTAGTTCGCAGGGAAGAGGGCCTTCACCATTCTAGGACTCGCATACTGCTTTCCACTGCTGTCTTGGGGGTGTGGAGCTACCGCTGCTGAGCCTAGAGCACCCTCTTCAGCTTTCACCTAGGCCAGCCCCTCCATGCTATCTTACTGGCTGGTGGTCCCCCTGGTTGCTGCTGTGCCTTTGGGGGGGCCCTGCTGGCTGCTCCCCAGAGGAGGAGCAAGGGCCCTGCCTCTGCTGTTGATACCCCCTTGAGGGGTCCCTCCTGGCTGTCTGACTGCTGATTCTGCTGCGTGGAAGCCTGCTGCTGCCCTAAGGAGGAAGACCTTTACTGCTGGGGAGCATGCAGGAACGCTGCAGGACACTGTGGAGGGGGCCTACTGTAGGGCTGAGTGACTTTTTCCATCTTTGCTCTCATGGTGGTGGTAGCTACTGTTGCTATGGGGAGAAGGGGGAGTGGCGTGGAGCCCTCTGCCTGGTCTATCTACCCTTTCCCCACCAGCTACCATCTGCTTCCAATCCTCACCCCTCTACTCAGTGGCTTGCCTCGCCCTTCTCCACCATCTGGGACTATTACAGCAGCTGCTACAGACTGAGCTCACAAGCACATGTGGTTGCATGTGTCTTTCCCCCTCCCCTCCCCTCCTCTGCTGCTTCTGCAGGTGGGCTTCCCCCACCCTCTGCTTTGCCCACCGGCCTTCCCAGCAGCAGTTTACCCCTTGCCCTGGCTGTTTGTCTGTATGCCTGTCCCTGGGTGTTTGCTAGTTTTGCCTGCCCTGCCCCTTGCAGCTAGCCCCTGTGGGTTTCCTACCTTGGCCCTGGTCTGCTTCTAGTCTCTCCCTTTCTCCCCTCACCTTCCGCTGTCCCCATCTTGTTCAACTCCCTCACTCCATGCACCCATGCCCCCCCCACACATTTGTGCCCCTTTCTGTTTTATGTTGAACCCCTAAAGTCCTTGGAGGACCTGGGTGAATGGGTGGTTTTCACCATTGTCCTGCCCTTCCTTCCCAATGCTGCCCTTTTGCCCTCCTTTCTGCCCAGGAGAAGCCCCTTTCAGTGATCATCCCTCTCCCTCTAGACTGCAAGGACCTTGCCCTCTGTTACACCCTCTTGTTCCGCCGGTAGGCGCAGATTCAGCGGCTGGTGGTAGTGTGTGATGGAGAGGTACTCAAGGAGTCCTTTTTGCAGGGGGTCTGGTACCAGGTGTACTACTTTTTGGAGGAGGCCCAGTGTTACCTCTACTGGGCAACAGGGCACGTCTGGAGGGACTGCCCCCTCGCCCAGCATGGAGGGATGCCTGGGACTCCCAAGCCCCAGGAGGGAGCTAGCCTTGTCACTGTCGGTGACCCTGCTTACCCGGCTCCCATAGTCACCCCTCCTCCTCCCCAGCCTGCCATTGCCTCTGCTCGGGCCCTGGGGGTGGCTCCCATGGTGTGCCCAGATGAGCAGGCGGGCCCTACCTCTGCCACGTGCAGTTCAGTGGGACCCACAGAGGAGAAGGCAGCAGAGCATGGTAGAAGGCCCACCCCTGGAAGTTTTCCCTTCCCCACACTGTCGTCCACCCCCATTACCTCCCCAACTCTTGCTACCATTGCCTTTACCCCCTAGCCCCACCCCTGCTGGCCAGCCCTCTACTAACACCTTGGAGGGCTGGCAAAAGGAAGGCACAGGCTCAGCACCTCCGCCTTTATGCAGAGGGTGAGGAGGCCCACTGCAAGACCAGAAGGGGGGCCGCTGCTGTCAAGCCTTCCCTCACGTCCCCTGATAGGGCACAACAACGAGAGCCAGCTGGGGAAGTTGTGGCAGCAACGAGAGGAGGTACTGCCCCACTTCTGGAGTCCATTCTTGTGGAAGCCTCAGCTGGAGCCCCCACATCCCTTTGTTATCTGCCCGCCCCCCAGTCGGCACTGAGGTAAGTGCTGCCTTGGTCACCGTCAGGGAGGACTCCGGAGTAGTGGGTGGGGAATTAGAGGTCCTGTGTCTGAGCCCTTTCACCCAGGGGGAGGGTGACCCCTTGCCAGCAGGCATCGATCTGGGCTGAAGTTCCTTCATGCCACCCCCTCCTCCTCTTTCTCCCCTTCTCTCTCCAACCACTGCCCCCGCTGAAATTCCTGAGGTGCCCCTGAGTTTGTCCACCTTCCCAGCCGTGGATGGCACCTAGTTTGTGGCCGCCTAGCCTAGCCTAGCATCGCCCAAGGCCCTCTTCCCATTCCTGTTCCATCAACCCTCATGCCTAGTCAAGAGGTGCTGCACCCTTGTACTTGGCTGCTGGAGCCCCCGATCTGGGCTCTTCCCCATCCCTGATCCCCCCCCTGATCCTAGTCCCATTCCCATTCCTGCTTCCTCCTCTTCCACCTCCCACGTTATTTCCACCCCCAGGGTCATCTTGTTTCCTTTTCAGTCCGATGGCCCTTGAGAGGGGAACATAAAAACTGACTCCCCTGACCCCGGCCCTTAGGGGCTGCTATTTCCCTCCATTCCCTTTTCTGTGCTGGGGTCTGAGATGGGCTGTGCGGCACTGGCAGAACAGGGGCTATGCCAGGGGTCTGCTCCTACCTGCCTGTTTCAGTCGGCTACGGGACTGTCGTGGGGATCTGGCTGGAGGACACTTGAGGTCCCAGAGGAACAGCCGTGTTAGTCTGTATTCGCAAAAAGAAAAGGAGTACTTGTGGCACCTTAGAGACTAACCAATTTATTTGAGCATGAGCTTTCGTGAGCTACAGCTAGCTCACGAAAGCTCATGCTCAAATAAATTGGTTAGTCTCTAAGGTGCCACAAGTACTCCTTTTCTACTTGAGGTCCAGTGACCCCGGCCCCCGATGTGCTATGAGACGAGCTGCGTGTCTTTCTCCTGGACACTCGTGGTTTCCGGACTAAAGAGCAGCTTGCTCTCCAGGGCCAAGGGGATTTCCATTGTGTCCTCTGGGCCATGAGGGCCATTTTGGGGGAGGGTCAAGGGACTGGGAGGCAGGATGCTATGTCCTACCAGTGGGTCTGCAGCTTCCGTGACCTCCCGATGGCTTTCAGGGTCAGTCATGGTTTGCTGTGGGGTCCAATGGGGATGCTAGCGTCCCTGCCTGCGAGGATCCCCCTCAGCCCTTGCTATGGCACTGATCATCTTCACCACACTAAACACCTGGGTCTATGGAATGGGTCTCTGCAGGTTCTCTCCTTCCTTTGGGACAGGGGATATTCTGTGATCTTTCTGCAGGAGACCCATACAGATTCAGTCATTGAATCTAGCTGGTGGCTGGAGTGGGGGGAAAGGGTGTATTTTAGCTATTTCAGTTTGTACAGCTGGAGTGGCCACCCTGTTTTCCCCCCAGCCTATGGTCTGAGGTGATTTGGGGGGGGGGGGGGTTGCCAGGCCACCTGCTGCACTTCAGGGCTCACTTGGAGGGGCTAGTAGCTGGTGTGTTTTTTCTGGCAGGTGTTCTCCTTCCTCAGCTCCTCATGAGTGCCTAGTCCTGGCCAGGGACTTCAACACCATCCTTGAAGAGAAGGACCACTCTGGGACCGAGCAGTGCCCGGCTGCCTCGGAGGCCCTCTGGGAGACTGTAGACCATCCCTCCCTGGTGGACGTGTGGCATGACCACCATCCAGACAATGAGTCTACTTTTACTTATGTCTGGATAGAGGCAGACCGGTCGTGCCACTCCCAGTTGGATCTCATTTATTTATCTCGTCGTCCTCTTTTGCAGGCCCACTCCTGCAGCAGCCGTCTGGTCCTGTTCTTAGACCATCATCTGATGGCTGTGGCAGCCTCTCTGACTTCAGAGCGGTTGGGGCTGGCCTATTGGCACTTTAACAATAACCTGCTGGGCATTGTGGCATCCTTCCGGGAGTTCTGGCTGGCCTGGCGAGGGCAGAGGTGCGCCTTTCCCTTGGCCCAGTGGTGGTGGGATGTGGGGAGGTGTGCGCCCGGCTCTTCTGTCGTGACTACGCCTGTGGCACCAGCTGGTGGAGGGCTGTGGTGATGAAGCAGCTGGAGCAGGAGGTCTTGGAGCTGGAGAGGCATCTGGCCGCCAGCCCCAGGAATTTATCCATCTGCGGAGTGGCCTTCTATAACACCAGGGAGAGGATGTTGGCTGAGGGGGTTCTTTGTGACTGTGGGGCCTATTTCTGCTCACGTATCCGGGCAGAGTTCCTCTGGGCAGCATCTGCTGGCTCCCTTGACACCTTCGAGGAGCAGTGGATGCTGTCTGGGGTTCTCTGCTCAGTGTCCCTTTCAGGTTCCCTATTTTTGATCTTTTGACCCTCACACCTGTTCTTACTTTTTTTTCTGTTGTCCCCATACTTACTTGTGTCCCAGGCTCAGTGGATCCTCCCCATAGGCTGGGGGAGGGTCTTTTAGCTGTGGGCGGGCTTGTGCCCGTCCACTTCCCACAACCCAATAGGACTACTCTCTTGTATCTGCCAGGACCGACTTTGTCACAATAGCTGTATTGGTTAAAAAAAAAAAAAAAAAAAATCATAGCCCTAATTGACATAGTTGTACTTGTACAAAAACAGCGTGTGGACAAGCTGTGATGCTGTATGATTAAAATATGACCATTTATGTCATTAATATTGCCACTGTTTGTACAAGATTTGTTACAATTGTCTAAGTATGTCCAGTAAAGTTTCAATGGAAAAGTTACAATCTATCAAATATGATTATCCTGTTTGTACACATGTATCATCTTTGTATCTAGAGTTATGAATATTGACTATGTACCAGTATTTCAAATGTGTGTGCTCCTGGGGGTAACACCAGTTTACATCCCCGTCTAGCCAGCACATTGTGAATGGACCATTCAAGTTGATGGCCGATTAAATAACACAATGGGCCATAGAAGAAGCTTGTTTCCCTCCCCCCCCAGTGAGCCTTCCTCTGGATGCTTTAGCCAGAATATGGGTAATAGCTGCTTCTATGAGTCATAAAAGCATGCAAGGGCATGTGACTACTCATGTGAACCTGGATGGACTCCATCTTGTGCCTGTAATTTTCCACACACTAAGGCTGAGAGCATTCCATCCACATGGATTGGCAACAGAGTGATTATTGGGTAAGATCTGAGTTATATTGACCTGGTTAGGTGGCTGATCTTTTGAGATCAGAAGAGCTCTTTGTTTGATGAAATTGGTTTTCAGTAACCACTCATCAGAAAGTCTAGTGTCTGGGTGGTGAAATAAGGGCTGGAATGCCTAAGGAAACTGCATTTTTTTGCTTCTTGTTAACCAGTGTGGTGAGACAGAAGTTTTACTTTTGTTTCTGGCTTGGTATATCTAATAGAATAATCACCCAGTTTGGGATGAATCTGCCCTATTTCTCAGCAGTTTGTCCTGAACCTGGAATCCTCAGCTGTGACCCACTGAGGCACGGTGACACGAGGATCAACAAACTCATTTTGATTACATGTATTTGTAAATTCCTTTGGAGATAAACAAATGTATGTATCATATCCGAGATCCTCTTGGAATTAGTTGAGTGGGGTTTTTTGTTATAATAATGCTTAGCAACTCAACAGTGTCTTCCATCATATGATATCAAAGAACTCTTGTAAACATCAATGAATATAGTCTTTCAATGCTTATTTACTGTACAAGGGTACAATATTATCAGTATTATTCCTTTTAAAGAAGACTGGACAAGCCACTTATCCTTTTCTGGTCTCAAAGTAATGTAGGAAGTCTATGGCAGAGTTGGGAATATAACCTAAGTGTCTGGATTCCCATTCCTGTGTCTTAAACACAAGACAATCCTTTTCTCCCCATTAGCAATATCTTTGCACATTCTGCATTGATGTTTGGTGAACACAGTAGATTCAGTATAATTCTTCTGAGACTAGGAAAGCCTGGGGTGATTTAGCAGTGATACTTCACCCAGCATTCATCTAGCTTTGTTTAGTTTTTGGGTGACTCTCAGCATCTCTGGGTGACTTTCAGGACAAGCCAGCAGCAAAGTAGTTACTCACATCTTCCATATTTTGTATGAAGTTTAGCCAGCCCATAAAGCAGCTCCCTGCAGTGCTCATCTCCAGATCTGAATTGGTAACTTTAAGGTTTATAAAGAAAGTGTCTGAATGGGAAATTCATTCTTACCATTAGCAGCAATTAGAGCTTTCTGGAGGATGATAATTCTATTTTACATCAACTTTTGAGGTTTCTAAATTTGTTTTTGTTCCAATGTGGAACAAAATGTTTTACAAAAATGGAATTATAGTGAAATGTCTGTTTTCAGGTCAAAACCTGACCTTGCTGATTTCCGGATGTGAAGAAGTGTGTCACTCTAAAGCCTCATGGTTAGGGCACTGGCCTATGATGTAGGAGATTCAGAGCAGTTTTTCATCCCAGATCACTCTGAATCACCCAGAGCAGGGTGATTCACCACATCCCAGGCCAGTTTCCTAAGCACAAGGCTATAGCGTGTCAAAGAATATTTCTCTCTCCCATACCTGAGAAACATTTTGTTGAAACCTATACATCTCCATGGAATGTTTCAGCTTTGATGAAAATGTTTTGTCAAAACATTCTGACCAGCTCTAGCAGCAACACAGAACTAATTGCTTTAAAGAATCTATTCTCAGTCAATATCTAAGGGTATGTCTACACTATGGAATTAGGTCGAATTTATAGAAGTCAGTTTTTTAAAAATCTGTTTTATATATTCGAGTGTGTGTCCCCGCACAGAAAATGCATTAAGTGCATTAACTCAGCGGAGTACTTCCACAGTACCGAGGCTAGAGTTGACTTCTGGAGTGTTGCACTGTGGGTAGCTATCCCACAGTTCCCACAGTCTCCGCTGCCCATTGGAATTCTGGGTTGAGATCCCAATGCCTGATGGGGCTAAAACATTGTCACGGGTGGTTCTGGGTACATATCGTCAGGCCCCCCTTCCCTCCCTCCCTCCGTGAAAGCAAGGGCAGACAATCGTTTCACGCTGTCAGCGTGGTCACATGAGTGATCAGGACACGGACACAGATTTCTCTGAAAGCATGGGCCCTGCCAATGCATGCATCATGGTGCTAATGGGGCAGGTTCATGCTGTGGAATGCCGATTCTGGGCTCGGGAAACAAGCACAGACTGGTGGGACCCCATAGTGTTGCAGGTCTGGGACAATTCCCAGTGGCTGCAAAACTTTCGCATGTGTAAGGGCACTTTCATGGAACTTTGTGACTTGCTTTCCCCTGCCCTGAAGCGCATGAATACCAAGATGAGAGCAGCCCTCACAGTTGAGAAGCGAGTGGCGATAGCCCTATGGAAACTTGCAATGCCAGACAGCTACCGGTCAGTTGGGAATCAATTTGGAGTGGGCAAATCTACTGTTGGGGCTGCTCTGATGCAAGGAGCCCACGCAATCAAAGATCTGCTGCTATCAAGGGTAGTGACCCTGGGAAATGTGCAGGTCATAGTGGATGGCTTTGCTGCAATGGGATTCCCTAACTGTGGTGAGGTCATAGACGGAACCCATATTCCTATCTTGGCACTGGAGCACCAAGCCGCCGAGTACATAAACCACAAGGGGTACTTTTCAATAGTGCTGCAAGCTCTGATGGATCACAAGGGACGTTTCACCATCAACGTGGGATGGCCGGGAAAGGTACATGACGCTCGCATCTTCAGGAACTCTGGTCTGTTTCAAAAGCTGCAGGAAGGGACTTTATTCCCAGACCAGAAAATAATTGTTGGGGATGTTGAAATGCCTATAGTTATCCTTGGGGACCCAGCCTACCCCTTAATGCCATGGCTTATGAAGCCATACACAGGCAGCCTGGACAGTCGTCAGGAGCTGTTCAACTACAGGCTGAGCAAGTGCAGAATGGTGGTAGAATGTGCATTTGGATGTTTAAAGGCACGCTGGCGCAGTTTACTGACTCGCTTAGACCTCAGCGAAACCAATATTCCCACTGTTATTACTGCTTGCTGTGTACTCCACAATATCTGTGAGAGTAAGGGGGAGTCGTTTATGGCGAGGTGGGAGGTTGAGGCAAATCGCCTGGCTGCTGGTTATGCTCAGCCAGACACCAGGGCGGTTAGAAGAGCACAGGAGGGCGCGGTACGCATCAGAGAAGCTTTGAAAACCAGTTTCATGACTGGCCAGGCTACGGTGTGAAAGTTCTCTTTGTTTCTCCTTGATGAAACCCCCCGCCCCTTGGTTCACTCTACTTCCCTGTAAGCTAACCACCCTCCCCTCCTCCCTTCTATCACCGCTTGCAGAGGCAATAAAGTCATTGTTGCTTCACATTCATGCATTCTTTATTCATTCATCACACAAATAGGGGGATGACTACCAAGGTAGCCCAGGAGGGGTGGTGGAGGAGGGAAGGAAAATGCCACACAGCACTTTAAAAGTTTACAACTTTAAAATTTATTGAATGCCAGCCTTCTTTTATTTGGGCAATCCTCTGTGGCGGAGTGGCTGGTTGGCCGGTGGCCCCCCCACCGCGTTCTTGGGTGTCTGGGTGAGGATGCTATGGAACTTGGGGAGGAGGGCGGTTGGCTACACAGGGGCTGTAGTGGCAGTCTGTGCTCCAGCTGCCTTTGCTGCAGCTCAACCATACACTGGAGCATACTGGTTTGATCCTCCAACAGCCTCAGCATTGAATCCTGCCTCCTCTCATCACGCTGCTGCCAAATTTGAGCTTCAGCCCTCTCTTCAGCCCGCCACTTACTCTTTTCAGCCTGCCACCTCTCCTCCCGGTCATTTTGTGCTTTCCTGCACTCTGACATTATTTGCCTCCACGCATTCGTCTGTGCTCTGTCAGTGTGGGAGGACAGCATGAGCTCGGAGAACATTTCATCTCGAGTGCGTTTTTTTTTCTTTCTAATCTTCACTAGCCTCTGGGAAGGAGAAGGTCCTGTGATCATTGAAACACATGCAGCTGGTGGAGAAAAAAAAAGGTACAGCGGTATTTAAAAAGACACATTTTATAAAACAGTGGCTACACTCTTTCAGGGTAAACCTTGCTGTTAACATTACATACATAGCACATGTGCTTTCGTTACAAGGTAGCATTTTGCCTCCCCCCACTGCGTGGCTACCCACTCAACCCTCCCCCTTCCCCGTGGCTAACAGCGGGGAACATTTCTGTTTAGCCACAGGCAAACAGGCCAGCAGGAATGGGCTCCTCTGAGTGTCCCCTGAAGAAAAGTACTCTATTTCAACCAGGTGACCATGAATTATATCTCACTCTCCTGAGGATAACAGAGAGAGATAAAGAACGGATGTTGTTTGAACGCCAGCAAACATACACTGCAATGCTTTGTTGTACAGTGATTCCCGAGTACGTGTTACTGGCCTGGAGTGGTAAGTGTCCTACTATGAAGGACGCAATAAGGCTGCCCTCCCCAGAAACCTTTTGCAAAGGCTTTGGGAGTACATCCAGGATAGCCGCGAATGCCAGGGCAAAGTAATCCTTTCACATGCTTGCTTTTAAACCATGTATAGTATTTTAAAAGGTAAACTCACTGGAGGTTCCTTCTCCGTGGGCCGGGTCCAGGAGGCAGCCTTGGGTGGGTTCAGGGGGTACTGGCTCCAGGTCCAGGGTAAGAAACAGTTCCTGGCTGTCGGGAAAACCGGTTTCTCCGCTTGCTTGCTGTGAGCTATCTACAACCTCCTCCTCCTCATCATCTTCTTCATCCCCAAAACCTGCTTCCGTGTTGCTTCCATCTCCATTGAAGGAGTCAAACAACACGGCTGGGGTAGTGGTGGCTGAACCCCCTAAAATGGCATGCAGCTCATCATAGAAGCGGCATGTTTGGGGCTCTGACCCAGAGCGGCTGTTCACCTCTCTGGTTTTCTGGTAGGCTTGCCTCAGCTCCTTAAGTTTCACGCGGCACTGCTTCGGGTCCCTGTTATGGCCTCTGTCCTTCATGCCCTGGGAGATTTTTACAAAGGTTTTGGCATTTCGAAAACTGGAACGGAGTTCTGATAGCACGGATTCCTCTCCCCATACAGCGATCAGATCCCGTACCTCCCGTTCGGTCCATGCTGGAGCTCTTTTGCGATTCTGGGACTCCATCATGGTCACCTGTGCTGATGAGCTCTGCATGGTCACCTGCAGCTTGCCATGCTGGCGAAACAGGAAATGAGATTCAAAAGTTCACGGTTCTTTTCCTGTCTACCTGGCCAGTGCATCTGAGTTGAGAGTGCTGTCCAGAGCGGTCACAATGGAGCACTCTGGGATAGCTCCCGGAGGCCAATGCCGTCGAATTGTGTCCACAGTACCCCAAATTCGAGCCGGCAAGGCCGATTTAAGTGCTAATCCACTTGTTGGGGTGGAGTAAGGAAATCGATTTTAAGAGTCCTTTAAGTTGAAATAAAGGGCTTCGTCGTGTGGACGGGTGCAGGTTTACATCTATTTAACGCTGCTAAATTCGACCTAAAGTCCTAGTGTAGACCAGGGCTAAGCCTTCTAAGGTAACAGTTACAATCTATTTCCTGGTTTTTCATTTGTGTAGGAATTGTCTTGTCTAACAGCTGTTCTCCATCCTAGAAGTCAGCTAGGATCATATGTCATCATGGCTGAAGTCCATGATGTGCTTGACTTGAATATACTTCCCCCCATTGACTTTCAGGGTGATCTGATCAGCTTTGGTATCAAATAGGCTATTTTGGCAGCCTCCCTCTAAAAGGCAGTGTTAAATTTCTTAAGTGGTACCAAGATATAGTCAAGATAATAATAGAACTCCATCTTTATTGAACTAAGGTGATCTGCTTCTGTTTGGACCCTGGCATACTTATCCACGTCTTCCTAGCTACTGAGATAGTTTTAAAGGATCTGGCTGTTGCTGCAGTGTCCTTGATATGTACTTCTGTAGGCTAAGCCTGTGCTGCACTGTTCGACACACTTTAATGCTCCTGAATACTTAATATCTTTTGTAGCCTTTCTTTTGCTTGGAATGGGAGAATATATCCAACAGCAGCTCTTAGACATATAACTGTCATTGTTTCCCATTGTGTTGGCAGCATCTGCTTGCCAATTGACAAACACAACCTAGGTCAGATAAGTTGGGCTGTGCTTGATGAAAAGAAACATTGTTTTTCTTTCTCATAACAGTGCAGTTCTCATCACTGTGGAATGCGACAACTTCATTCCAAAGTCTAGTTTTGTCTTGTCAAAGGTAGCAAAGGTGTTCACCTATAACATGTCAGAATGTCTAAAATCTAGTTATTGTTTGGCCTATATCTTTCTCAGAGAGTTTCACTAGAATTACAAATTCTGTCTCACGTCTTTGATCACTGCTCTCATCTGCCATTAGACAGAATGACCCATCATTTCTGATCTGCTAGACTAACAAAGCATTTTCACGGATTATCATGGTTTTCACACATCCATATCTAAAATCTTTAACAACACTGCCAGGGAGTATTTCCTCAGTGTTTAGGTTTTTATATAACACCTATCATCATGGTATCTAAGATTAGCAGATTACACGGCTTTGTGAAATGATCAACGGCTGCAGATGGTGCGATATGTTTGGCAACAGTGCTTCTGTTCTTATTCCATTTCCAGCACTGACATGTTAATCAAGATCTTTGTACTTGATAATCTCAATCAAAAAATCAAGCATTGATTAATCATCATAACAAAGAAGGGAAGTGCAGTCTCGTATTTAGAACACGCTGCTGTAAGCTATCCACTGACTTGCTGAGTATATTGGGCAAGCCATTTGACCATTCCGTACCTCACTTTAAGCATCCACACAATGAGGATTTGTAAGTCTTTATATTTATTTGGGGACTGTAGGTGCTAATGTAATACAATCAAGTATTGGGATCTCCTTGTGCTAGGCACCCTACATACACAGGCCCTGCCCCAAGAGGCTTAAAATCTAATCAAGAGGTGAGATTCACTGCTGTAATGTGATCTGAGAACCTGCCACGGAAAGTGATATGTAAATGCAAAATGTTATATTTTGGCTTGTTCTGGTTCATAACTTGCATGGTAATTTTTATCACGAGAGGCTTGTGTACCTATTCAGGGCCAAAAATAGCCATACTATTTGCCATGTCAACTTTTGCCAACCCATAGGAATTGACATTTCCACGAATTTGGTGGTGGTGTATTATAACAGCACCAAGTGGCCCTAACAAGCACCAGACCCCACTTTGCTTGTTGTTGTTCAAGAAGATAAGACAGGACTCTTGCACCAAGAAGCTTTAAATCCAGTTTAGAGAGTGTTCTTTTGCCTCCAACAGCAAAACTTCTATATGTGTCATATCCATTTGTCTAGCCATTAATGAAGGTATCTGAGAGTGCTAAGTGGCTGGCTCAAGATATGGCCACTGTTTTATGGAATTCCTCGCATCTAGGTAATCCAGGTTGGTAGAGACCAAATCCTGCTATGTTCTGATGGGTATGCAATAGCCTGAGAAGTTAGTGTTCTCAGTCTATTTCCTAGTGGACAACTGTACACTTCCTAAACACATCACTGAATCCCTAGACTGAACTACCCTCTCATTAATACAGGCAGTCCCTTCAAAACAAAGCTGAAGTATGATGCCAGGACAGTGTGGTAATGCTTGCATTTTCACTGGCCATGATGTGTGCTGTGGCTCAATATAAGACTTTGGTCTCTGGGACTGTCCTTCTAACACTATTCATGAACACTGATTCTCCAGTACCTTGCATTTTACTACATCATTTACACCTGGGCAATATGAGTGTAAAACACTACCATTCAGATTTTGTAGTACTTACTTTGCACAGACCTATTATGCAAACTAAAAAAGCACTGAAGCATGTAGTTATCTTTGACTTAAATGAGATCACTTGTCTGCTTAAAGTTAAGCCTGTGTTTAAATGCTTTGTTTGATCATGGCCTTAATCACTACACTAGCGATGAGGCTGTGAAGAAATCATCCTTAATTCATTGAACAAATGCCACTATTGACTTCATGTGTTTTGGAGTCACTACTGCTGTTATGGCATACAATTAGTTATAGAAAATTGAGATTTTAAAAGGCCCTTCTGCTGAATCTGCTTCTCACAATGTGTGCTATGAATAAATGTATCCATCAGGGTCCAAACTCCACTTGCCCTCTGGGGTGGAGCAGCACTTTTCCTTAGTTGCAAAATACCTTCAGAAGAGAAGTTGTAGACTGAAGATAATATAAAATATGGTGTGCTGTTTTTTTTAGACCATTTCTCTGTTTCCTTACGCCTTCATTTTGCACAAAGACTGTTCGTGGTTAATTCTGCTTTTGAAATT